AAATTCACCAAATGGACGAAGAAGTATTGGCAGATCAAGAAAAAGATGGTGCGACGATTTAAACAATTTAGGAGGCTAATATTGAAGAAGAAACAGGCTTTAAAGCCGACATACTAGAAGGAAGAAAAGACATCAGTAACCTTGGTTTTTTGTTTGATCCATTCTATTATTTTTCGATCTTTATTTCTTATACCTAGCATGCATCGCTGCATTGACCTTTGAGTGACTTTAAGTTTTGATATTATCTCTTTCTTTAGTGCCCAAATTTCGCAGCCGTAGGTCATGATTGGTAGTATACACTGATCGAATGCTTTGGATATAACTACATTTCTACCAAAAGATGCCCAAGCTAGTTTTATTCTTTTTATTTCAGCAAGATTTTTTACAATGCAGTGCGCAAATTCTCTACTTTTGTTGCTGTGTAAAATCAAAAGTACGCCGAATAAACAAAAAATATCTAATAAATAATAGGCAACTTCTTAACCTATTTTTAATGCCTGCAGCACGGTAAATTTTGTTAATTGATCCTGATAATTGAGAATGAAACGAAAATATTGATTTGGCTCACTTTGCATGTCAATTAGATCTACTTGAGAGCGCTATAACTCATATTATTTGTTAAAATTGTCCTCACCACTAAACCATTTCGTTACACTTTCTTTTCAATTGACACTGCTTGCAAAGTAATAAATACATATCAATTATTTGCCGTGTTATGTTACAATATTTTCTCTTCAGTTTGGAATCCATAACTAAAACTAATAAAAGAATATAATTAATTCCTTATTTTCGCTGAAATTTCGAAAAAATTACAAACCTCGTAATTTCTGATCATCTGTTCCTACATGAGAATAATTCGTCGGTCATACAAAAATACTGCAGCTTAGCGGTTTCGTCTATCCTCCTCTCTATGATCTCGATTACATCAATTTTTAAAATATCTTACCTTTTCAATCGTCTCTTTTTTTTCAATAAAATTATATCTTCGCTACTTTTACAAGCTTTTGCTTCCTCTATCTCTGTCAGTATTTGAGCGTATCTTCCTCTTGTAAAATGATTATACGATAATTGCTGCCACATATAACTTTTTGCAGAAGTTTAAATAAATGCACTCAATTGATGTGCAATTGAGTGAAATATATAAAAAATCTATTATACATACGCACTTACGGTCCTTGCATAACTTGTCTTCTGTTGTTGGTGCATCTCATAATTTTGAATTTGACCTTCCACTGTCAGTTAGTGAATACTTTGGTTCTGCTGAAGTGTAGAATCTTCGATCATTTCACACAGGATGATATTTATTTGCTATAATGTAAAGAACACATCAAACATGATTAAAGTAGTAAGTGTTTTAACGTTGATTTAAATAATCATCGGTGAGATCTTTCATAAGTGTGATTGGCATAATAAATTAGGTAACATGACATTTTAACATTTACAAAATATTTATTTTGTTATTTTAAAAAGGTACAATAATTTTCCAATTACGGTTATTTAGTACGTTGGCTGACATATATTATTGCATATCGGAAATATGTTTTTTCGAGTTTTCTATTTCGTTTGCGTGTTTGCAAGTCATTAAATATGTAGTTATGCTTATCAATGTGAAATTTTGATAAATGATTTTTAAAGTATTCTTTGTAATAGCATCATATTTGGTATTTATAGGTTTGGTGACTTAAAAGTATATTTTGAAATATCATTGGATTTTGTGAAAATACTAAAACACTAAAACAGGTCTTTTTTTATTCTAAAGGGGACATCTTTGAACCTAGTTTCTTACAAGAGTTTATTTTTGGTATCTGTGATTAGCATAAGAGGTTTGTTTCATTGAACTTTTGTACGGCACGTGCCATTTCGCTTACCAGGCTCACTCATTGTTGTCCTGCTGTGTATTATTAAGGTCGTGGCATATTATCGTGCACGTTGCGTTTCCAGCACGTAGTGGTTAGTTTCCAAAAACTACCAAAAGCTACGTAATTGAAATGGTTTTAAATATGAAAACTCACACTATCCGGAACGTATCGTAACAGACACCCAACGTTTCCGTTCAGTATATTCGGAAACATTATTTTACTGATGCCGACGGCTACGTAACGAGTCCGGTTGGTACGAATAATGTGAATTAGATGTCCTTCGTTTTCCCCTATGCATGTATTTTCATTGCTTTGTGACAATTAAACACGAAAGTGATAAAGAATTAGGATTTTTGCACGGAAGTGATACCTCTTTTTTTTTAAAATACTCTTTGGTTTGATATGTATGGCTTCGTTAAATTTAGTAGTTTGTTTTAAACTAAAGATGTGATTAAATTTAAAATATATTTAAACTGAATCCTATTCATTCTAAAATATCCATAATATTTTTCATCGTCATCAATTAATTCTTTGTATAAAGTCCAGTATTCATCTTCCTTTTTCCTTTCTCTTAGGAGTAGATGTACTTCAAACTCTCTTTTTACTACAGTTTTTCTTTCTTTATTGTTAAGTAGAAGAGCAATTGCACATAATTTTTGTCGTGAAAAGCGAGATCATATCTTCACCGAAACAAACTGAAACATTCTATGTATGAAAATGTGAACGCGCAGTCCGAATGCTGGAACGGAAACGCTACGTATCGGAAACTATACCTGCTTGATAATATGCCGCGACCTTTAGGTTGAGTTTCTTGTATCTGTTCTTGTATCAGCAATCTGTTAATGTATTTCATTGGGGACTTGATCTACAACTGTCTCTTAGTTGTGAAAGAAGCTTCGCTTCTGATAGTTCTGATCTTTAATGATTATTACTTGAAAAATATTAAATTTATTTACAAGTTTTTGTTCCACCTAGGTATACTGATAGGTTTAAGTAGGTCCGCTCCTCTCCTTTATTCTCTTGCTTTAATATTCTTTTCATTTATGTCCTTTATCTGTAATTTGTATCTAATTTTATAGTCTTCTGCTACGTTTATTAATAAACCATTTTCCATATAACTGCAGTTGGACATTTTTCTTGTATGATTTACCATTTATTTTGTAATGATGCATTTCTCATATCTAAAAAGAAAACACTAGAATTCACTACAGAACCAATTCCCAAGTTTAACAATTATTGATGAACAGACTTAGGCTGAAGGCTTAAGGAACTTGGACAACTAGAAGGCAATCGTACATACACAAAATAGCACAAGACAACGCCCTATCAAAATACTACAGGACAATCAGTCTTACAACAATAATCTTGATAGACATATTAAAGAGGGGATATAAGGGATCATCCTCTCAATGGCAACTAGCACTAATATTATTGTTCTAAAGCTATTTTCTTGTGGCAATTAAAAGTAATTACTATTTAAATGGGAATAAGCCACAATTAAAGGTTAAAGTTAGTTTATTGACGTTTCAGTTTCCACTTCGGAAATCGTTCTCAAAATACAAACATTAGTAAATTTACTAATGGTTTATTCCCATTTAAATAATAATAGCATTCATATTAAGAAGGAACATCAGCTAAAACAATGGACGAAGTAGTTAAGAAAGTCAATCACTTTAATAATCTAAAACCGTTGAAAGAATTGGAGCTGGGGTATTCGGAGGAAAATTAAGCCTTATTGGAAGCCCAGGGTATCACTCTACTACCTTCCAAGCGGAAATGTATAGTATAAATACGTGCCTGCAGAAACTAATAAAGAGGAACTGCAGAGACAGATCTATAAAAATTATGTCGGATAGCCAGAAGACAATAAAGGCACTTAAATCGAATCGGATTGACTCTAAGCTAGTTTGGACCTATCTTCAGAATCTGGTTACAATCGGAAAAAGTAACAAAGTACGTTTACTCTGGAAGATTGGACTAACTGGCATTGAAAGTAACGAAAAAACGTATCAACTTGCCAGGAGAGGGGTAAAAGAAACATTCATAGGCCCTGAACCTGTTGTTAGCATAGCAAGAAGCACAGCCAAAAAAATATCAGAGAGGGTGGAACGGACAAAACGTAACCACTGGCACAAACAAATGGGTCTCAAAAATTCGAAGGCGCTTATAGACGAAGCTTCGAAGAAGAGATTCAAAGATCTGCTAGATACGATCAGGAATGATCTGCGAATTATCGTAGATCTCCCAACAGAATACTGTTATCTTAATGTTTGGGCACATGCACAAAATCGGACTGACATAAAGTGCGAATTGCAGGTTGATGATAATGCGGCGAAATACGTTCTGCGCAACTGAGCATTGTTGGATAAAATAAGGCTCGATACATTTGAGCCATTGACGCTTTAACTCGAGCTTTACGACTTTATAGAAGTGTCATCTAAGGCCATAATAGACTTTGTTAAAAAGGCTGCGCTGAAGAAACAACGGGATGAGCCACATTGGACCTCTTAGGTCAAGTGGAAAAGTGGTTAAACCATAAACATATAATACAAATAAACTGATTGCCACCATACAGTCACGTTTCCCCAGTGCTACAGAGAAAACTAACGCAAATCAGTCTCTGCATATCTTTCTAATGGGATGGGTTTATTGACCACGTGACCTCCTCTTTGGTCATTTAGGTCACGTGTTAGATAAACCTGGCAAATTAGAAAGAGATGCAGGGACCGCTTTGCGTTAGTTTTCTCTGGTTTTTTATGTCGCATAGGGGTAACGGATCTGTATTGCAATAGTCAGTATATTTGTATTACATGTCTATGGGTTAAGCATTCATTCATATTAAACCCAAACCCAAATAAATATCTCAATTTTATTATTTTTTGGGCTAAACGCTGTCTGTAGGGTTACTATAGATTGTTTCTTGAATTAAAGACCTCAGTGCAAGAACCGGGCAAGTCCATTTTTAAATGAAATTGAGTTTTGCATTCAACATAGAAAATTTTAAGTTGCGCATATTTTAGTACAAGAATCGGGTAAATCCAACGAATATTCATTAAGTTAGCATAGTAAAGGATTTATCCGATCATCCATTACAGTGCAAGACTCAGGAAAGTCCAAAAGATATCTGATTTTAGCACCGAAATGGTCGCGTGTAGTCGGAGTAGGGAAAACGCTGAATGGTCCGGTGGTACTGGTGTAGTGTTTAGGTATTTTGTTTTCAGTTGTGAGAATTTGTTAGAAAGAACAGGTTGTAATTTTGTGTTTAGTATAATACGTTTTATAATGTCGTCGGAATCAGAAATCGAGAGCGATCATTTTCAAGATTCGGGTAGTGAATATGCTCCGAGTGATTTGGATCAACCTAGTACAAGTCGTAGATTGAAAAGAACGGAAATTAAAACAAAAAAGCGAGATCGCAGACGTTTGGATCGGACAACATTAACAGAGAAGAGAGGTAGAAAACGAGTAAGAAACGAAAGTGCGAGGCAAATAAATGTAAGGAAATCGTTAAAAGCGTGCGGAGAGGAGTATCTGAATTCAGTTAAAAAGGTTGTACCTAAAAGAACAGTGGGAATACGATGCACTTGCCGACTTAAATGTTTTGACAAAATTGACGAAACGAAAAGATTGTCTATTCTCTCCTCTTTTAACGATTTAGGAAATTAAGAGAAGCAAGACTTATATTTGGGTGGATTGATTTCTTTAAAACCAGTGCAAAGAAAACGGCCAAAATCAGGACAAAAAAATCCAAAAGAAATTTCAGTTTCATACAAGGTATGTTTTAGTAGTTGTTTTTTACATTACTTTATTTTAGTTAGTATTTTTTTAACAAGAATTTTATTAAATCAGAACATTAATAAGTTTAATATTTATTAGTACTATATAGTTTACAAACAAAAAATTGTCAACTTTTACAGATTTATTACCAGTCTCTTACATAGTTAAGAGTTATTTTTTGTGATGAGCCTAATCTTGATTCGAGTAAATACAATCCAACATTAATATACTATTATGTTACGTAATGTACATAATGTAAATGATGTTAGAAATGTAATATTAATATTACAATATACTGTTATACCAATAATATTGTGTTTTGTTACAGATTCGTTTTGGACATACTGAACATAATGTCTGTAAAAAGGCGTTTTATGGCATTCATGGCGTCACCAAACATCGGGTTGATCGTCTTGCTTCATCACTGAAAACTGGGATATCCGCCCCACCTGATATGAGAGGAAAACACATGAATCGACCTAACAAGATGCCAGAGGAGATATTGCTGAACATAAAAAATCATATAAACAGCTTCCCAAAGCGGAGTTCCCATTATAACCGGGAAAAAAATGATTTCAAGTTTTTTCTGCCTGCAGAGTTAAATATTTCGAAGATGCATAAGCTGTATTTGGAGAAGTATGAAAATGAAGTTTTCATTAAAAAAGGCGAAGAACCCATCCAAAAGTTACCTACGACTTCTACAATCGCAGTTTTGTATTTAATCATAATATCAGTTTCGGAACTCCGAGGTCTGACAAATGTCAAATTTGCGACAGATTACAAAATCTTATACTTGCCGAGATAGATCCTGAAGAGAAAAAAGCACATCTGACTGAAAAAGATATTCATATTCGTAAATCTGAGATGTTTTACAAAAAATTAAAAGAAGTTACCATTCTCAGTAAAGAAGATGAGTCAATCGAAGTATTATGTTTCGACTTCCAGCAGAATTTGCCTTTACCCCATGTTCCAACAGACTTTTACAAAAGGCAACTTTGGGAATATAATTTTTGTATTCATTCCGGAAAATTGTTACGTCAACTTTTTACATGTATGATGAGCAGACCGCTAAGAAAGGAAGTAACGAAGTCATATCCTTTCTTGATCATTATATAAACACATATTTGCCTGGTTCAGTAAGTAAGCTATACATTTTTTCGGACAATGCATTTGCACAGAACAAAAATCAAACGTTAGTGAAATATCTGTATACTTTGGTAAATATAAATAAAAAAATTAGTCAAATACATCACCACTACCCCGAACCAGGCCACAGTTTTCTACCATGTGATAGGTCATTTGGACTCATAGAAAAAAATAAAAGGAAGAAGGAAAGAATATATCTACCATCAGAATGGATAAAGTTAGTTGAACAAACTTTGAAAACATTTAAGGTAGTTCCTGTAGACCAAGAGATGATCCTAAACTTTTCTGACCATTTTAAACAACTCTTTAAATCAGCCCCCAAAGGGCAAAAAAAAGAAAAGTTATCTGTTCATCGAATGTTCTGTAAGTTTGGGATTTGTTATTTCCACAAATTTTTTTATGAACCCAAAAGGAGATATTATTGCATTCGCCATGCCTAATAATAAAGCATACTCGAAGCCCTTGGACATAAACCCTAAAAAAATTAAAGATTTAAGAGACTTAGTACGAAAATATGTACCTTTAAGTGACCAAGGGTATTACAACCGTATGTTTGAAAATATTATGCTGAATAATGCCGAAGACCTAAATTTTGGAGATGAAAACGAAGATCCTGATGAAGATAGTGTTAGTGACTATTCTTATGTTTAAAATAATTATTTGATTATTATATTTTCATTTTAATTAAAACGTATCATTTGCAATAAAAAATCCAAAACAGTACATTGTTTCATTTTTATTTTTAACACGCGGGATTTTTGGAACAAAAAACAGGCAAGTCCATTTTTTCAAAACAAAATTGTTGCGTCTATAATATGAATTAAAAGTAATGATTGAATAAATAAGACTTGTCTAATGTTCCTCTAGAAGTATTAATTTAATTAAATATAATTTATTAACATTTTCTAAAAATATTAAGTTTTTTTCGATTTCCCAATAGTTTAGAAAAGTGGAGTTGCCCGGTTCTTGCACCGAGGTCTTCAATTGAGAATACTGTTTTTCTTTTCTTGTATTGTTCTGTATTTTTTCAGAGGGACAGTATTGTTCTACTGTTTTTATTTAGTTTCCATATCTTCATTATATCTACTAACATCAAATATTTTAGAATCGACTCTTTAAACTAAAACTTAACTTTTCTTAAGGTTATAATTTCTGTTATTTCATTACAAAATGACCCTAGGGATTATATTTACACAAAACACATTTTAATTTAATAAGTAGAAATATTTTAGAAGTGAATCTACATAAAATTTTAACATCCTACAAAATTATCAGCAACAATCTAATCTAATACTAATTAAATAAAATTTAAAAGAAGAAGAGAAATCCGAAGATTTCTAAGTGTTCGACACCAAAATTCAGATTATTGCCTAAAAATTACAATTTGCAAAGCAAACAGAGGATGAATGGACCAACATTCCTATGACCATTCTACCCAGGCGCTCTGATAAGTTCTGCTAGGACCAAATGCAAATAAGCGAATAGTAGAGGCACTATACCTGAAATTCTATACTATATCTTTATTTACTCGTATATTTTAAGTATGAGAAACCAGTTCACGAAAGGTTTTTACCTACGGTAATGATGCTCTCGATATGCCGTGGAATACAATTTCAGATTTACCATGTCTGTCCATTCGTCTTCAATAATCTGAATTTTGAGTTCGAACACTTAGAAATCTCCGGTCTTTTACTTTTTTTTTATTCTCAAATGAGCTGTAGCATCTGTATAAAGTTATTTTGTTATGTCATTCTGTGACTAAAAATATTTAATTTCACATTCAGGGTTTCTATCCAGTCGCTCTGATGAGTGCTTCTAGGACGAAATGGGTATAACTGTCTTTTCTATAAATATTTAAAGGATTTTCACCCATATATTTACTGGATTTTAACATATAATATACCTGGTAGCAGCACTGAAGATGGAATATTTATTCCGAAAACGTTCTATGATTTAGCCCAAGAGGGTTCTTTAAACTAAATTTAAATTTTATAAAGGATTCAAATTTCAAGTTTATAATTAAAATTCTTTTGATATATGGTATACAGCTAACTACAGGAAATCAACTTTTTCTTTGTGGAAGTATCGTTTAAGCCAACAGAAGCCGGATATTATAAAACCCGAGTATAATTGAATACCGATCAAAATGTCGAAGGTATATTAAGGCTTTATCTAGATCCTAAGGAGTGATAATAATTTTTATATACTCATAAAATAAAGACATTTTATGTATATATGAGAAAATAAAATAAATTGAAATAAAATGACATTAAATATAATAATATATATTCTAAGTTTATACATAAAACAACTTAGCTATAAAGATGAATATTTTCTCTAAAAAAGGAAGTTAAATTTTTATTATTTTTAAAATATGCAATAACTATATTAATTTATCGAAGAATATATTCGAAATGACCTTTACCTACTTTCATATGGTGTTATATCAGAACTCTTACAGAATACCTACATGCATTGAAACACATCCGGACTCAACAAACGCATCATCCTTGAACGATCCTTTTGATACTCTTTGTAAATGATTCCGGTTTTATTATATTTTCAGGTTACAGTTAATTTCAAAAGTATGTAGAAACTATAGAGGTGTAATTGCATAACAATATACGTCCTAAAAATATATTCTTTTATTATAACAAAGTGCAGTACATGCAATAACAATAAAACATGTAAAATAATTTTAATTAAATACAAATTTTATTGAATTTGCTTAATATTTTTTATATAAATTTAACTATTATAATTCAATGCATGTATTTGTTTAAACTATTTCCATATAACAACGTATGAATTATATGAATTGAGTGGGATTGGGTTTATTTTTAATATTTTAAATATATTCTTAAGATTTTTTTTGGAAAAATTGTTTAATATAAATTTATTTATAATATAATTTCATTCTAGTTCATTATAGTAAAACATTTTAAGGGTATTATTTGAAATATTGGTACAAAAATATTAAAAATTGAGCAAATCACAGGTAATTTTCCAATATGAAAAAAAAGTAACTTCTGAATTATTTGTTGACAAAAAACCAACGATTAGTACGATTAGAAAATTAACTGTCCGAGATCTTCACAGTTGAAAAAGGAGTTATACATGGTTGCATATTGTTATCAGCATTATTTAACATATACTCCGAAAACATCTTTAGAGAGGCCTTGGACGAATCAGAAGATGGGATTGCTGTAAATGGCCAACTTATAAACAACATTAGATATGTGATACAGTGTTGCTGGCAGATCGTGCGCAGGTGCTCCAAAGGATGATGGATAACGTTGTAAAAGCATGTAACAAATACGGCCTAAAACTAAATTGCAAGAAGAGAAAAATAATGATCATTAGTAAGAACACCGGAATATACGCCCAAATTACAATTAACGATACACCGTTAAAAAGCGTGGAAAAAATATGCTGTTTGGGCTGCAATATTAAAGATACCTGAGTTCACAGCTACGAAATAAAAGCTCGTACTGAAAAAGCCAGAAGCTCTTTTAACAGCCTTAGAAAGATTATCTACAACTTAACTTTAAGTATCACTATAGAATTCTGTAGAAGATAAGCACATTTAGAAAAAGAAAAAACCAAAAATATTTCGTTAGTTTATAATTTTCCCCAAGTCGCAAGGTCGAAATATTGTTCTTTTAATTTTTTTTTAGATTGTAGAAGTAAAAAAAGATTTTTGAATTTTTTGCGACAAAAGGAAAAAAGACGGAATTTTTGAA